TCCAGAACGCTCTGGAACGGATTTCTCCTCGTACTGGCCCCGTCCGACTGCTGCTGCTGCTGCTGCTGCTGCTGCTGCTGCTGCTGCTGCTGCTGCTGCTGCTCTTTCCAGAGCCCCCACGAGAACATCTGTGGCCCCCTCCGCCAAAGTATACACACAGACGCCCTCCAATGGCGCGCTCCTGGGCCTCAGGGGAGGACGGCGGTGCATGAATCACCACTGCGAGCCAGCGACTTCATACAACGCCACCCTTCCCAAAGGCACAGCCAGAATTCGTCGGCGGGTTGGTGTATACATTTATGTGTATGCATATTCGCATTTGTATTCCTGGTGCCCCCAGAAACCAGCAAGACCGTGAGGCGCCCTTCTGACCTTCCCTCCCTGCGGCGGCGAGCCCGGGGGGCAGTGCGAAGGGGCGGGCCTTCTCAGAAGGCTCCGAGGTCCCCTGGCCTTCCGAACACTTTCCTGAGCCCTCCCCGAAGGCACGGAGCACTGCGCAGAGGGCGCGAGGGCTTCTGGGAAGCCCCGCCGCCCTCTGACAAAAGGCCTTCTCCTGCTCGCTTCCCCGACTCGCCCGCCGCCGATCACCGCTCCTCGTGCCGCTGCTGGTGCTGCTTCCGCTGCCCCTTCCCCCTCCCGGGAGGCAGGCCGCCCCTGAGCACTGTCTTATCGTGGAGGGCTCAGGGTGAAATCCACGTGGGCCTGTACAGAACACAAGTTCGTATTGTGGTTCACCGTTTGCTGGTTAAAACCTCGAAGACCTATCGAAACGGCATCTCAGATTTCACCCTTTGCCCTCCACCCAATGAGAATGCGCGGCGCCCCCTTCCTCGAACTTGGCGCCGGAGAGGATGGCCTTGGCCTGCCTGAGGGCCTCGATCTCCTGCGCGGGGCGGGCGGCCTCGGTCTCCCGCCTTCCCTTCCCCCGTTCCTTTCACCCCTCCTCCTCCTCCTCCTCCTCTTCTTCCTCCTCCTCCTCCTCCTCCTCCTCCTCCTCCTCCTCCTCGTCCCCTCCTCCTCGTCCTCCTCCTCCTCCTCCCCCTCCTCCTCCTTCCCTTCCCCCCTCCTCCTCAACCTCCCTCCCCACCCCCTCCTCCTCCCCCCTCCCCCTCCTCCTCCTCCTCCTCCTCCTCCTCCTCCTCCTCCTCCTCCCTCCTCCTCCTCCTCCCCTCCTCCTCCTCCTTCCTCAACCTCCTCCTCCCCTTCCTCCTCCCCTCCTCCTCCTCTCTCCTCCTCCTCCTCCTCCTCCTCCTCCTCCTCCTCCTCCTCCTCCTCCTCCTCCTCCTCCTCCTCCTCCTCCCCCTCCCCCCTCCCCCTCCCCCTCCCCCTCCTCTCTCCTCCTCCTCCTCCTCCTCCTCCTCCTCCTCCTCCTCGTCCTCTGGAGCCTCCTCCTCCTCTGGTGCCTCGGAGCGCGTGTCCCGCAGCGCAAGACACGCACAGACCATTTGAATTAGTGGGCGGGGAATGGCACTCCAACCTCCTTCTTGCTGGTTGGGTCCACACCATTGCGCAGCAGCTTGAATGAGCGCTCCGCACCACTGGTTCGCCCTTGATTGCATCGCAGGGCCAAGTCCTTGACCTGCCTCCGCGCGTGGCAACCACAGGCCATGCAGAAAAACAGTTCACCATTGACACTCCACGTTCTGTGGGTGTCGTGACACCTGGCCAGGACGCGAGGCTTGCCTGGACACGGGTCCTGCACGACAACGCTTCTCTTCCTGGAGGCCCTGCCGCACACTCTACACCCCCAGACCCCGTCTTTGAGGTGGAGGAGGTGATTATTATCAGACCTGTCTATCTTTAGGGTGGCCACAGGCTGGGCCGCCCCAAGAGCTACAGGCTTATACTTACTGTGCTTGGGAATTCTATCTACATCAGGAAAACCGCTCTCGCTCAGCTTGCTCAAAGTTCCTCCGAGCATCCGAACAAACTGCCTGCCTACATGCACAGCTGCTGCGACACGCTGATCTACATGGGCCACTGAAGGGTGCCCCATAGCTCCTAGCCTAGCATATTTGTCGGCCGCGGCATTCCCAGGAAACCACTCATCAGAATACCCATGGTTCCTATACCAGGACCTGGACCGATGGGGAGGCATCCAAACCAACTCGACGTTTTCGCTCCCGATCTCATCGATTTTCCAGAAAATCTGCCTCCAGATCTCCCAGTGTGGCTGGGTCGGACAACACTTTACCTCCGGGCCCTTCTCGAGGGCCAGCAGCAGGTTCTTGTGATCTGTCACGATCGTGGCTCTGGCAGGCATGAGGGTCTGGGCCATCAGGAACGCGTAGTGCTCGGCAAGTCCTGAGGACTGGACCAGGCCTGGAACGGGGCCGTAAGCAACTGCTTGGACCTCCTCCGTGCCTGGTCTGAGTGAGCATACCGGCCACCCCGCCCTCGTCATCCAATCAATATCAGGATCTAACCCAGACCCATCAATAAATGTAAGTCCCCCTAGATGGCCTCCCCGAGGGTACCATCCCGTTTGGCTCTCACCCACCTGCAGCGGAGGGGAAAGATCGTCTCGCTTGCTATCCAAGCAGCCGAAGTCAACCATCTGGTTGTCGGGGAAATCTCTGCCTATGGAAATCAGCTCGTTGAAACCCTGCTCGCGCCTCCAGCCAGCAAGCCCGTCACACCTGTACAGACGGTGCGATATGGTACCTGGAGCGCCCAAGCACCACCTGCATTCACGAGCGATGCTGTACCTATTCTGGAAAATCTTATCCTGAGTCCAGAGCCCCCCCAGCCATATGAATGGCCACCATATCAGCCTGAGCCGAAGGTCCACGTCCCCGAAGCTGCCTGAGTTCTGCTTTCACAGGGTCCAGGAACGCAAAACCCTCCCAACCGAGGTGCTTGGCGGCCGCCTGCTCGAGCTGCCGCTTGATACCCATACATATATATATTATATATATATATATATATCTATAATAGATAACCGCTTTGAGGGTGGGGATCCCAGTTTGATGGAGGTCAACTTGGAGCCCACGGGGATCTATCCACACATGATACGACCTTGCCGTCCACCCGAGACGCCTGAGGGTTTGGACGACGGCCCCTGCAGGGCCTCGCACATACTCCTACTCCTCCTCCTCCTCCTCCGCCTCCTCCTCCTCCTCCTCCTCCTCCCCCTGCTCCTGCTCCTGCTCCTGCTCCTGCTCCTGCTCCTGCTCCTGCTCCTGCCCTGCTCCTGCTCCCTCCCCCCCCTCCTCCTCCTCCTCCTCCTCCTCCTCCTCCTCCTCCTCCTCCTCCTCCTCCTCCTCCTCCTCCTCCCTCTCCTCCTCCTCCTCCTCCTCCTCCTCCCCTCCTCCTCCTCCTCCTCCCCTCCCCCTCCCCTCCCCCTCCCCCCTCCCGCTCCTCCTCCTCCTCCTCCTCCTCCTCCTCCTCTCCTCCTCCCCCCTCCTCCTGCTCCTCCTCCTCCTCCTCCTTCTCCTCCTTCTGCTTCTGCCCCTGCTCCTCCTCCCTGCTCCTGCTCCTGCTCCTGCCTCCCCTCCTCCTCCCTCCTCCTCCTCCTCCTCCTCCCCCTCCTCCTCCCTCCTCCATCCATCTCTCCCCCCCCCCCCCCCCCGCGCCGCGGCAGCTTGAAGGGGGCGGAGGAGGGCACGGAGGCGGGCGGCCCAGGAGGCCGCCGCGGCTGCCACCTCCCCCCCCTCCCCCCTGCAGCACCCGAGACTCCAGAGGGGGCCCAGGCCGCCTCCAGGGACGATCGATCCCGACGAGGGTCCTGAGCGCGCCACCGCTGGAAGCCTGACGTGCCCGCTGTCACCCAGAATGCTGTCCAAGACACCCCCGAGAGGCCTTCCGAGGATCCCGTCAACTGGCCGCCTCGATTTCTTTGAGGCGCGGGAAGTCCAGCACCAGATCGAGCACCCCGGAACGGTCTCGAACAGGGGAAATGGCGACCCCTGTCCCAGGCTTTGGGAGTGTTTCGAATGAACCGAACATTTGGGGCCCAAGCCTGTGATATACGATTAGGGGTGCGTCCCTCCTAGATCAGGGGTGCGTCCGAATAGCCCACTTGGGGTGTATCCTAGGGTTTCCCTCATTTTCTGAGCGGCTTCATTTTTCGTCGAAAGTCGGTTTGGGAGGAAAAGTTGTCTGCGAGTCTCGGCGTGAGGCAGCTCCTGGAAAGCACCCATAGGCTGGAAACATCTGGGAACCAACGAACACGCCTGAAAACCTGGAACTTCGAATATCGAAGGGCTCCTCCAATCAGCCTGCTCCCCTGGAGACCTAAGAGGCACACATTCTAGAAAGCCGCGGCTCTCCCCACCTAGGTTCCAGGGTGCCCCTCGGGCCCCACAATCGGGGCATGTTGGCGGGATGGCCCGAAGCCGATCAGATGCTCGAATCACAACGCATCATACATTTCACATCCGCACCATGGTTGTTACAATCGTGCCGCACATGACGACAAACACAAGTGCCACTCAAGCAGCACTCGACCACTCCAAACAGGCTGGGCAACACGGGAAAAGGTCGAAGCGAACCAAATCAGAGGAGAGTGAGGCGCCCAGGTGTACCCGCACTTCTGCCCTTCCACCCCTCCCCCCTTCCGCCGACACCGAGCACAGGAAGCGCAGCAGGCACACGAGCGGGGAGAGGCGTAGACGAGGCGTGGGAATATGGACTTGCAAGGGGAGGGTGAAGACTCCGATCTCGGGGAAGCGGGGGCCGGCGACGAGGACAAAGACGTGCAGAATGGCAAGACAGGAGCCTCCCGAATATCCGTCCTTCCTTAGACCATCGATTTCGGGGACCAAATTGATCGCAGATGAGAGAAGGCCTCGTGTCAGATAACCCGTTCGTCACACATAACGTAAGACCAACCGCACTAGATTAGACCGCACTCGGCCAGAGGAGACCATGCCACACCAGGAAGGAGCACGCCCAAAAGGATCACTCAGTGACTAGCAAGGGCATCGGTGGGAGACCAAGGGGGCTTGAGGCTGTCTGACGTCATAACAGTGCCCCTCAAGATGAGTTTGAATTATGTAGGCAGCATCCAGTCATGTGGAGTATCAGACGTGCTGCGCGGGGGGGGGGAGCAGATGAGGACGATGTTCACGTGCGTGGGAGCGCATTCCTTTGAGGCCGCCACCCTGCCAGTCTGCCTGGCGCTCACATGGACACGACCGGATGAAACACACGCCGAGCAACTGCAGTGTGTATGCAGATGTAGTAGGACAGACGCTGATGGCGAACACATTCCAACCACGCTTTCAGCGGCTGGCATGCGAGGGGAACTCTGCCTGGTCCTCGTTTTCGCCCCTTGCGGAACAATAATTCGAACACCGACGCATCTGGCCAAACGTGCACCAACGTGTTGCACCAGATCCCTGAGCCTCGATCCTTCGATACATCACGACCCTCCGCCGAACGCATCGTGGATCCGGAAGGGGGGGCCCGCAGAACTGCACCCGCAGGGCCCCCTTCTCCGCACACCCCCGTGGCGCCGGCCCTCGGGCGCCGTGGCGGACTCGAGCGGCAGCGCAACTGTACGGACAGAACGCAGACGACTCCGTCCGGCAACCATTTCAAATGGTCCCGTCTTTGCACTTCCACATCAAGCCACGGTATCCGGCACCGTCGCTCTGAAAGCTGAAGTCCACGAGGCTGCTGTCGGCCCACTGCCCGCACCAGGAGCTCCAGACGTCAGTCCTCACGTCGAAGCCGCCGCACTGGTCCAGCCCTCGATCGTAGGTCCTGCACGTGTCGCAGCACTGCACTGCCAGAGCGATCTGCCTCGGCATCCCCTCTGGTGTGCAGCACAAGACCAGGTAGTTGTCATTGTCCCGTGCGCACCACGTCTGGTCGTCGTACGCGTAGCTGCACGCCTACGCGTGGCGGATCGAATTCCCCGAACTCCGACAGCGACAATGACGACGACGACGACCTCAAGAGGCCTCTAGAGGTCTCCATCGGTCTGGCAAACTGCTGGAGCCCCCTGGAGGAGTCATGAGACTTCCGCCAAAGTGGGCCACATGCACACGATAACCTTGCACAACATTCGATGCTCCTCCTCGCCGATCCTCCCGCCCTACTATCTTGAGGAACCACGACACCGCTGCTGCGCCCGAGGCGCCCATGTACGGCACGAGCAAGGCGAGAACTGCTTGACAGCTCTCAACTTCCATGGAGAGCGCGCGTGACGTGAACTGGTGTTGTGCCGGCCCGTGTGCAACACCACACGGTAGGTTCGTGTCGTGACGACCCTGGCGTTGGTTTCTGACACCGCGTGGTGGATCGTTCAACCTCGACCGCCCTACGGCTTTTCGATCGCGATATCGTCCACGTCGGCCGATTCTGGCATTCAACGTTCAACGCCCCCGCTTGGGTCGCAGCCGCGTCGACGAAACACGCACCTACCGTACTTCTGCTGCTGCTCCACTCTTGGATGCTCGTTCTGGGGACCTTCCTGGAGCCACTCGCTCCACTCGTGCGTCGAAGCTGCGTCGAACGTCAGTCGATTTGGGTCGACCCTGAGTCGAACCTGAGTCGAACCTGAGTCGAACTTGAGTCGAACTTGAGTCGAACTGCGGTCGAACAGGTCCGTTAAGTGGGCTCCCCGAAGGTCCCCGAAACGAGCTTCCCCCCCTTGATGGTGATCAAGCGAACGCTCCCAGGCGCGTGCTCTCTGCTCGGCCCGTGTGGGGCTCAAGCTCCACGCGCGCCCCCACGGCTGCGGCGTGACCGCGACCGGCCTGCTCGAGTCACACCCCCTCCCTCCTTTTTTTCTCTCCTCTACATCCTCACCTTCGGTCCGCCTCCTTCTCCGCCTCTCCCTCCTCTACCTTCTCCTCCCCCATTCCGATTCCTCCTCTGCCTCCTCCCCTTCGGCCAATCCCCCCCTCTGCCCCCAGAGACCCTTTACAGCTCCGCAGGCTGCTTTCTGTTCTCTAGCCCCAGCGCTGTGGAGGGGGCGCCCCGCACTCCTCCCCTCCCTCCCCTTCCTAGAGAGTGGCCCGGACCTCCGACGTCACGACCCTTTCTCTGCGACGCGGATAAGACGCAGCCAGGACGAGGACAAACTTACGAGGTGAGGATATATCGACATTCTCTGAGATCCGGCGGCTCTGGAAGATGTCTCGGGCGCCGCGGCCTTCTCAGAGCGTTCCGCAACGCTCTGAGAGCGTTAGGGACGCTCTGGAACGGATTCATTCTCGTCCCAGCCCCGCCCGAATGAACCTGTTGGACCTCTCGACAACTCTCAAAGGACCCGTCCGTCCCGGGCTGTTTTCTGATGGCCCTGGGGCCCAAACGGGCCTCTAGGCTCCCAGCCTGCTATAAGAATGGCCGTCCTTTTTTTCGTGACGCTGGCGTAGGTCTGGGGAGGAGTGGAAGGAGAAGTGGAGGAGGAGTAGGAGGAGGAGGAGGAGGAGGAGGAGTAGAAGCACAGAACATCGGCAGAAAAGGAGAGGGTTCTCCTGGTGGTGTGGTCCACATGTTGTGTGGTCCGGCTGAGACATCACCCATATCTGCATCTCTGGAAGGCTTGGTGGACTCTCTCTCCAGCTGCTGAAGTAGAAGCCTCCCAATCGAAGTCCGAGCAGACGGGATCGGAGGATCGAGACGCATCGCCAGCGTGCGGCGATGCATCGGCGTGGTCGGCGTGGGGGAAATCGCCCCACACCGGGCCGCATCGACGACGCATCGGCGATGCGCCGCGATAGTCCGACCCCATCAACTCGAACTCCCCTTGCAAAGGGAAAACCATGAACATGCACTCTTCGAGCAGCTACGTGCGGCTTTCTTGGATTAGCGCTGGGCCCCCTTTCCTCCTCCTCCTCCTCCTTCTCCTCCTCCTCCTCCTCCTCATTCTCCTCCTCCTCCTCCTCCTCCTCCTCCTCCTCCTCCTCCCCCACCTCTTGATCTTCCTCTTCCTTCTCCTTCTCCTCCTCCTCCTTCCCTCCAAAACCAGAAACATGCACTTTTCGAGCAGCCACGTGCGGCTTTCTTGGATCCGCGCTGGGCCCCCTTCCTGGCGCGTGGAGCGCGCGCGCCAAGGGGCGGCGCCAGAGGCGCCGCCGGGGGTGCCCGGCGCAGGTCCGAGACATCGGCGCGGAGCTCCAGAGTTCAGATCGTGATCACAAGAAGGGGCTCGACCACAAGACACCCCCTCTTTCCTCCTCCTCCTCCTCCTCCTCCTCCTCCTCCTCCTCCTCCTTCCTCCTCCTCCCCCTCCTCCCCCTCCTCCTCCTCCTCCTCCTCCTCCTCCTTCCTCCTCCTCCTTCCCCTCATCCTCCTCCTCCCCCTCCTCCTCCTCCTCCTCCTCCTCCTCCTCCTCCTCCTCCTCCCAGGACGTCCCTTGATTTTTGGTGTGGGAACGTCAGCAAGCCCATCGGAACCCAAGAAGCTCGGGGCATCCTGGAGGCAAGCAGGGTGTTTTGCTGGAATGGGTTTCCACTTTCTTCAAATGTTTCTTCCTCGGATTTGGGAAGCCTGGGTGAAGGTGGTGGTGCCGCCCCAACTTGGAAGAACAGTGCAATTTTTGCAGGTCCTGTCGAAGAATCGTCGGAAGGACTTCCCTGGGGCTGGAGGCTCTGAAATGGGCACCAACACCAACACAGGGGGGTGCCTCCACCAGAGGAGAATGATTCCAGATTCTGGTGCTGCTGGTAATCTTTCGGTCACCTAGGAATTCCGAATATTACCACCATCACCGATATCGGGAGCATCTTCCCTCGGTGAAGGCACACCGCCGATCTTGTTGTCTAGGCCGCCGATGGTGGTCATTCTTCATCAGGGGTCCGTTTCTGGTGGACCGGGGCCCGAAAACGGCGCACGAAGGCCAAAAACAACGAAAAACTGACAGCGAGGAACATTAGCCTGGCGACGAACCCAACCATTGCAGTTGTGAAAACCGCAGTTGTGGATATCGTATTCCGTGGAGCTCCCTACGGGCCACGAAACGCCGTACTTAGTGGGGAGACGCATGCGAACGGCGCCACCTGGGACCTTTGGTGGAGCTCCCTCTGGGGCCAAGAAATGCTGGGTGGGGGGGACGCATGCGAACTGCGCCACTGGGACCTTCGGTGGAGCCCCCATCTGGGGCCACGAAACGCTGTACTGGGTGGGGGGGGACGCATGCGAACTGCGCCACTGGGACCTTCGGTAAAGCTTTCTGGGGCCACCAACCGCTGTACTGGGTGGGAGGGGGGACGCATGCGAACTGCGCCACAGGGACCTTCGGTGGAGCTCCCTCTGGGAACGCTGTACTGGGTGGGAGGGACGCATGCGAACTGCGCCACAGGGACCTTCGGTGGAGCTCCCTCTGGGACCACAAAACGCTGTACTGCGTGGGGTGGACGCATGCAAACTGCGCCACTGGGACCTTTGATGGAGCTCCCAATGGGGCCACGAAACGCTGCAGCTGGTGGGTGGGACGCATGCGAACTGCGGAGGAGGGAGGAGGCGGCGGAGGAAGGAAGGAATGAGACGCGGGGCCTCTTCGAAACGAGGATCCAACAGCTCCGGACGGCTGGGAACAACTCTACGCTGCGAGTTGCAGTGCTTCAGGGCAGTGTACCTCCCCCCCACCGTATGGCTGAAACGGCCGACGGTCAGCGCCAACCAGGGTCACAGAGGCCAACGCCAGCCCGAGTCAACCAGGGCCCCGTCGCGAAACAGTGCCAGCTGCTTCAGTGCCTCCCGAATACGGGTCAGCGGAAGGCGTGGTGGCGGGGTCGGCCCCACATGCCTGCCACACCCGTGCCAGCCAGAGGAGGTCGGATGGGATTGGCTGACCCCCGCTAGCGCTGGCCCCCGTTACGCAAGCCCGCAGGAACAGTCGGCATCGAATCGAGAGACCCGATCGGATCGGGACCAGAATCAGTTCGAATCGGCGGCGCCAGTATGCACAACAGCGCCAGGCAAGCATCGGGCCACATCGGATCACCCGAACATCGGCATCGAATCGAACCGGGCCAGCCATGGCAGATACCGAATCGGATCGATCGGATCGAAATGGAGCCTGCGATGGTACCTCCCCCTCCTCCCCCTTACCATCGCTCGGACGTCAATTCTGTTGCATGCATTTGTCGGCTTCGTGCGCGCATTTCTTGTTCGCGAGATGGCCCAAGCTGCTCCTCCATGGTCCCCGCCGACACACAGAAAACACTGGGCGCTTCTGGACGTGCCCCTGGCCCGAGGTGCCCCCGGGATTCCCAGGGAGGCCCCCCCACGGCATCCAGAGCATCCCCCGCGAGGCCCAGAGGGCCCCGTGGGCTCCAGAATCGAGCGGCAGGCCGGGAGGGGGCACCTCGGGCCAGGGGCACCTCATTGAGCAGGGACCGACCGTCCTGGCAGTCCTATAGCCCTACACCACGATATGTTCGTAGAACCCCAGAGTGGTCTAAGAGCAAAAACAAGGTTCTTAGAACATACGCCCGATGTGTTCAAACAAGACAGACTCCGCAGGAAATGTTCTCAGAACATGTCGTGGACACCTCAAAAGTGTTCTTGGAACGGTGTTCGGTAGGGCTACAGGCGAGCCAGGACGGTTCGCCACTGCTGGAACCTCGGGCAGCCCCCGAGACAGAAGCGCGCACGCCGGAGCGCTGCCGAGCCCTCCCGGCGCGGGGGGCCGCAGATGCCGCGGCGGCCTGCTCCGAGAAGCCCGAGTCGATCCAGCTCTGCGGGAGCGGCGCCCACACGTCCGACATGTTCGTCGGGTCTCCCGCGGGGCCTCTGGGTGCCAAGGGTGCACCAAAGCGCCGGCCCGTATGTCTCATAAGGATGCGCGGTGTAAGGATGCAAGGGCCCTGGAAGGCCGCTTCGAAGCTTCTCGGGCGGGGCGCGGCCAACGAAAGCGGCCAAGGATGCACCGAGGAGGCAGGGACGCAGGGGAACCCTTGGGAAGGTTGCCCATCCTTCTCATGCAGGTGCAACTGGTGCCCAATCACCTCCTTCCCGCCTCCCCCTCACTGGGCACGCAAGAAGAGAACCGATGCCGCTGTTCCCCGGGCCGCTCCTGGTGTGCGTTCTGACGAGGATCCCGGGGATCCCCCCCCCGGCGGGGCAAGGATCAAAGGAAGGGGCTTCCCTTCGACTCAACTACAACGTTGCTCAATTTCGCTGTGGCTGGCGCGCTCGAGGAGGAGAACCCGGTGAAAGTGGGGGGAACGGCGACGGGCCTAGGGAGAAGGGGGGAAGCGAGCGGCGAAGGCGACGACGACGACGACGACGACGGCGACAACGACCGCGACGACGACGACGACGACGAGTCAAACGGAACAGCCCCTTCCACACGTCGACAGGGTCGGCGGATTGTTTGACTATTGTTGAATCTTGTTGTGGTATTTTTGATATTTCGTCCACAATCCGCCTGTAGGGGGACACGCCGGACCCAGAGGCCGTGGCAACGAGGGCGCAGCAGCAGGGACCCAGAAGTGGCGACAAGCGTGGAGATCACCTCGAGGAGGAGGAGGAGGATGAGGAGGAAGGAGGAGGAGGGAGGAGGAGAAAAAGTACCCATGCCGCTGCCCTTCCCTGGTGTTTCCTCAATGTTGGGCATCCGGGGTCCCGGTGGGGGTCCCGTGGGAGGGGTCCAAAGGGGTCCCGGGGCAGATGCGAGACTCCCCCTCGGGCGGTTGGGCGGCCAAGAAAAGCCGCAGGACGCGGCAAAACTGCCCCAAGATGCACCCAGGACGGTCCTAGAGGGCCCCGAATCGCTGAAGTATCGGTCCAAGTCGTCAAAGTAGCCTCCAGACGGCTCAAAAGGTTTCCAAAACGCCCCAAGGGGCCTCCAAGCGGACTTCCAAGAGGTCCCAAGGGGCACAAATCACCGATTTCCCGTAATTGTTTAACAGATTTCGACATTCTCGCCGTGTCAGCTTCCCGACGCTCCAAGACAGGCCAAGAAGCCCCCAAGACCGCCCCAACATGGCCCAAGAGGCCTCCAAGAGAGCCCCCAAACGACCCAAGAGTGCCCCAAGACCGAACAAGAGGCCTCCAAGACAACCAGGCCCCCAAGACGGCTCCAAGGAGGAGCCCAGACGGGGGAACCGAACGGACATTCTGAGCCCTCGGCCTGAGAAGCTCTCAGGAGGCCCCCAGAGGCCCCTCAGAAGCCCCCCAAGAAGCCCAAAGAAGCCCCCAAGGGACCCCCAGGAAGCCACAAGAGGCCCCCACGAGGCTTCCAAGCGGCCCCCATGAGCTTCCCAAGAGGCCCCCAAACTACCCCCAAGAGGTCTCCGAGAGCGCTCGTAGTCGTCGTCGTCGTCGTCGTCGTCGTCGTCGTCGTCGTCGTCGTCGTCGTCGCCATTCAGGGTCGGCGGCACCGGCCGTAAGGCCTTCGCAATCATCAAAAAATCGTCCCCAGACTATTGTTTGACTATTTTTGAAGATTCCTCCTGTAGAGGGACATGCCCGACTCAATCCCAGATGGGGTCGGAGTAGATGGGAACGGAGGATCGCGCCGCATCGCCGATGCATCGGCGATGCATCGGCGATGCGTCGGCAATGCGTCGGCGATACAGCAGCGGTGCCTCGCCGAAGTCGGCGATGCATCGGCGACACTAACGTGAAGCAATCGGGCTTCAGATCGAGCAGCATCGGCGATGCATCGGCGATGCGGCGCGATCCCCCGACCCCATCTACTCCGACCCCATCTAGGAGGCCTAAGTCCTTGGAGGGTCGAGACTCGAGGCGACGGACAATATCGCGCCCAAAGCTTTCCGCGGTCTTCTGCGTCTGGAGGTTCCGGGACCCGGGTCCGTCGAAGAGAAGACGACGCCAGGCCAGGGACAATATCGGACAGGGTGATCGGGGATCTCTGAGATCTGGCGGTCCTGGAGGATGTATGGGGCGCCGTGGCCTGCTCGTGTTTCGGGACGCTCTGGAACGGTGATATTCCTGCCCCAGCCCTGCCCGGCGCAAGCACGTGCTGACATGTATTACAAATCTGTGGATCTGGCACATTGTCTGGACCCTTTTTCGGCGGTGGACAAACCTCCCATTAATTCGCCGGCCCAACGGGCCAGGGCGTGCTAAGATCTCCGGTACCTGGTTAACAGTATTTCTAGTTCGCGCGCGCGGGGCGGCCCCTGGGGGTCCCCGGACGAAAAGTACCCCGGCAAGGTCCCGGCAAGGTCCCGGCAAGTCCCCGGCAAGGTCGGGCCAGAGATGCCGGAGCCCTGTTACAGGGCCCCAGGACGGGCCAAGAGGTCCCCAAGAAGCCTCCAAGACGGTCCAAGAGGGCCCCGAGACGGCCAAAGATCGCCCGAAGACGCCCAACAGGGCCCCAAGACAGCCCAAGAGGCCTCCAAGACGCCCCAAGGGCCTTCCAAGAGGCCTCCGAAGAGGGCCCCAAGAGGCCAAAATCGTTGATTTTCATTTTTTTTCTATGTTTTTTGCGTTCTGGCTTTTTCGGCTTCCGGACGCTCCAAGACGGCCCAAGAGGCCCCCAAGACCGCTCCAAGACGGCCCACGAGGCTCCCAAGACGGCCCCGGAACGGCCCAGGAGGGCCCCCAAGACGGCCCAAGTGCCGCCCAAGACGGACCAAGAGGCCCCAAGACGGGCCCAAGAGGGGCTCAAGAGGGGAACCGAGAACTGAAAAATCGAGCCCTCCGCCCCAGAAGGCGCCCAGGAGGCCCCAAAAAGGCCCCAAGAGGCCCCCAAGAGGCCCCCAAGACGCCCCAAGAGGCGCCCAAGAGGCCCAAAAGAGGCCCCAAGAGGCCCCAAAACGGCCCCCAAGAGGCCCCAAAACTCGGCTAGCCCACAACGGTGCGACAATATGGGCCGGCGGAATGAGCGAAGCGATTAAATAAACCTCCCTTTGGTGAAAACGGCCTAAGACCGAAACAGACGGACCTGGACCCGCAAAAACGACGGCCGCGACGCCTCTCTCGAACCGAAAGCGGCCGATTCGCTAATCGACGTGTCATGGTAGGAGGTCGATGTTTCGGGGACCGGCTTTTCATCCCGAGTAGCTGTTTCACAGCCCCGGGGCTCGGCCTTGGCCCCATGATGCGGAAACTGCCGAACACCTCGCGCCGTCTTGTTTGCTTTTGCACGACGCGAGGGTGTGTGACCCCTATGGGGTCGAAAGCCGACCCCCAGACCACTCCGGAGGCGCATCCTGGTCAGAACTTCGCGGGGATCCAGAGGTGGCGGCGAGGACGTCCCGAGAGGCTCAGGGCGTGCGAGAAGCGCCGCCGACAGGTTCCTACGAAACTCGAGCCGCGTGGCTGTGGTCTGGGACGCTGGAGACTTGGTCGGCCCCAGCCTTCTCTGGCCCCCACGCGGCCCCGACTCTCGGCAAGGGGCCCCTGTCGTTCCTTCGCCCGGGCCAGCGCAAAGGGGGGTCTGCGGCGGGGCGCGTCCGTAAGAGGAAGGAGGCGACGGAGGTGGGGGAGGAGGAAAGCAAGGAGGAGTAGGAGAGGGAGGCGGTGGAGGAGGGGGAGGGAAAAGAGGAGGAGGAGAGGGACGAGGAGAGGGACGAGGAGAGGGAGGAGGAGAGGGAGGAGGAGAGGAGAGGGATAGGTGAGACAGGAGGAGGAGGAGGAGGAGGGGAGGGGGGAGGAGAGGAGGAGAGGAGGAGGGGGGAGGGAGGATAGGGAGAGGAGGAGGGGGGGGGGAGGAGGGAGGAGGAGGAGAGGGGAGGAGGAGCCGAGGGCTGCCCAGGCCCCGACCCGACGAGCGGCCCCGGCGCCGCGCCCCAGGCCCCGGCCCCGGCGCCGCCCGCCGCGGCGCCGCCCGTCGAGGCCGCCGCGGCGGCGCGCCCGCCGCGGCCGACGAGCCCAGCGCGCGCCTGCTGGAGGATGGAGAAATATTCGGCGGCGACCGAGGGGGGAGAAATAGTCTGGCGTGTTGAAGCTTCTTGGCGTTTGTGCGCCCTCGGAATGCGTTCCAGCGGCTGCGCCTTGCCCAGAGCGTTCCGGGGATGCCCGGATCGTCTCGAACGGCCGTCGGAGACCCGAATTATGACCAGAACACTGAAGCCGGCGGCGAGCGAGGGGGGAAATGAGAAGAAGGCCCTCTCAGAAGGCGGCGGGGCTTCTCAGAAACCATCCGGCCTTCTGAGAGGTTCCTCATGTGCGTCTTCGGGGAAGGCTCAGAACACTTCTCAGAAGGCCGAGGAACTTCGAGCCTTCTGACAAGGCCCGCCCCTTCTCACTTCCCCCCAAGGTTCGCAGTCGAGCACCTGTACCGATTCTGGCCTGGCCAATCATGGGTGCACCGACTCTCTGCCCTGGTCCATCCTGGGTCCAAGATCGGTGCACACACGCCGACCTGGATCGGCCAGGGAGGCACGTGTCAACTGGCCCTGGGCCCCAGGTGGGCCTGGCCCAAGGTCGGTGTTTGTTTGTTTTTGTGTGTGTGTGTGCGTGCGTGTGTGTGTGTGTGTGTGTGTCTAAGTGTGTGTGTGTCGCTCGTACTCCAAGAGGTTCCTCACGGGCGCCGCAGACCTACGAGGGCTCCCGAGTCCTTGTGAGCTCGACGAGAGCAAAAGCAGCACGCCGAATTTCGTAGTGTGTGTGTGTGTGTGTGTGCGAGTGTGTGCTTGCGCACTTCTCGCCGCCCGGCCTGCAGGAGCTGCGACGCGGCGCCCAGCGCCTCCGATCACGCGGGTCCGATCGAGATTGGGGGTGCCAGAAGGTACCCATGCCCCTACAGTCGGAGCGTTCACCTAAGGAACCCCAAATAAGGAACGAGGTCCCTTTTTTTATAGGTTGAACTTCGATTTCCTATCGGAAACCTAAGGAAAATCCAGGGCAAGCTGCGAAACAATCAAGGAACACGGAGCCCCTCCCCAACGAAAAGGGTTCCTTCTTCAGGGCCCCGGGGGTGCTGTCTGACCCGGGCTGCGAGCGAATCCAGCGGTGGCGACGAGGGCCTCCCAGGGGGCCCAAGAAAGGGGAAAAGGGGGGAAGGGTGGCGGTATGGGTACCTCTTCCTTTTCTGAGAGATGGGCCCTCGGATCCCGAGAACCCCCGACGCCCCGATCTTTGCACGTCGCGATCTCCCACATGTCTCGACCCGCTCCCCCGGGGCGGGCTTCCCATCCCGAGTAGTTTAGTTGTTGACGGTCCAGAAGCTCGGCGGTGGATCCCAGAGGTCGAAAACTACAGTCGGCCCGTATCAGAAGGGTGCGCTATAAGGATGCAAGGGCCTTGGACGGCCATGTTGAAGCTTCCCGAGCGGAGCGCGGCCAACGAAAGTGGCCGAGGATGGACCGAGGAGGCAAAGATGCCAAGGGTAGTACCCTTGGGAAAGCTCCCCGTCCTCACTGTGCGGGTTGGCTATCCTCCTCCTCCCCCTCCTCCTCCTCCTCCTCCCTCCTCCTCCTCCTCCTCCTCCTCCTCCTCCTCCTCCTCCTCCTCCTCCTCTTCCTTCTCCTGTAGCAACCGTCCGCCCGTGTTTTTCCTGGGACGCGAGGGGGGCCCGAGGTCGGAGGCGAGCAGCCGCCCCGCGAGGCTTCCCGCGTAGTACACCCGAGCACCACCGAACCGATCCACGTCCCCACCGGCATGGCCTGAGCCGCACTGGCCGATGTCGGCGGTGGACACACCTCCCTTTAGTAAACTTGTAACCGGCAAAGCTCCTGAGGAGCTCAAAAAGAGCAAACCCCTTATTATTATCGAAAAAATAGAAACAAGTTGCCCCCTATTATTATCGAAAACATAGAAACAAACCGCCCTCTATTAATATCATAAAAATACAGGCGGCATTCCTATATCGCTCGTATTATTTCTGTATTGTTTCTGTATTAATACAACCCAGCCCAAAGGCTCACAACGTATTGCCGAAAATGCTCAAAATACACAAATAATATCAACAGAATATGAAAACCGCATGCAAACCAGACAAGCTCACAACAAAAACAGCTGATCCCGCGCAGCAGTGGATATAACCAACAGGGAACGGATCGTGTGCAGCGCTTCCTCTCTTCCTCCACCTCGTTTGCTTCCCTTCCTTTGTCGTTTCCTGCCGTCGTCCCTCCTCCCCGCCCCCTCGTCCTCGCCCACCCCTGCCTACCGTCGCCTTCCTCCTCTGCTCGTCCACCTCCCTTCCGGCCCCCCCACCCCTTCTAAGACTCTTCTCATCCTCCCCCTCTCCTGTTCTGGCCCCTGCCTGAGCAGAACAATCGACGCGGCCGCCGTGCGCCGGGCTCGCCGTCGCGTCTGCCGCTGCACTGCGCGCGACGCGCGCGACCTATTTGACAGAAAGCACGTCGGAGCAATGCTGGGAAAACGCGCAAACAGTGGTTTGCCCGAACCCATGAACCAGGCGCCCAGAGCACGTCGCACTGTTCCCACTCCATGAAGAAATCAGCATTGCTAGCTGCTGCTACAAAGCTGCCACAACCAGGTCGCTGACATGCGACTCGAGCGCCTGCCCGAGCGTCGCTGCCACTAGGTCACTAGGACTAGTGACGAGTGACTAGGCCCCCCTGAAAGGATTTGCAGCGTTCGTTGCTCCCACCAGGCCGACTTGCATGAGTCATGAGGTTTGCCTCAATTCGGTTCCAGCGCCTCCAAGCGAAGTAGAGATCAGCGTTGCCACGCTGGATCCCACCGGGCATCACGAAACAAAAAATGTCGCAACGCCGAGTTCGACTCCAATGCCTGCCCGACTGCGAGCATTGCCAGCAGCTGCCAGCATTGACCCTGCCAAGGCACATCAGAGGATTCCAGCTCGAGCTCGTTGCCCCTGCCATGCCGCACGCGTGGATGTTTGCCAAGAGTTCGGCCCCAGTGGCGCCAGCGCCTGCCCGACTTGTAGAACTGGTAAACGGTAAACCCACCGCCCCTGCGGGTAGCAAGCCATCCTGGATCATCCTGACTCAACATGCACCAGGCCACAATGGCACAATGGCAGTCTGCCGTGCCGTAATTTGCTGGATCTCCCGATCGGCCCGAGCGCGACTTGGACTTGGAATGAACCAGCATGGCGCCAGCGATGGCCCAGGCCAACGCCCGGGCCTGCCCATGCCCCGCCCAGAAGCTCTGGGTGCAAGACATGACCGCGCTCGACGTCGACGAGTCCGACTGCGCTTGGCTTGGCGTTCGCCGGGGCTGCGCCGGGGCCGGCGCCCTCCAGCCTCGCGCAGAACGTCGCCGCAGTGCGCGGCCTGGGCCCGTCAAGCCAACTGGCACCCCAGCACTGACGTCTTCAGCGCCGAGGGCCGCCAGCCGAACGGCCGAGAACAAGGGGAACTAGATCCTGACAGGTCTCCGAAAAGTAGGCAATCCCTCCGGCCACCCTCTTTGCGCGAACTGGAAAAATAGGTGTTCTCCCGGGGAGATGTATTTTTCTAACTGGAAAAATAGGTGTTCTCCCGGGGAGATGTATTTTTCTTATATAATTATAAAGAAATAGAAAAATCATGTGGGAAAAACTATTTTTTTACTATTTTAATAGTTTTTGCGTTTCGTTTTTTTTTTTTTTTTTTTTATTTTTTGCAAAAATACAAAAACGCCGAAACTGAAAAAATACCCGCCCGCCCCGGGCGCACCCTCGCCGCGTGCTTCCCGATCTGCTCCCCGGCTCCCCTCCCGGGGGCGGCTCTGCAACCTCTGCGGGCGTTGCCTGGGCGGCCTTGGCGCGGGACATCGTCGTCGTCGTCTGGTCGTCGGGCTCCTCGGCTGGAGGCCCCGCGCCTGTTGGCCGTGCTCTGGCTCCCGAGTTGGAGGCTCCGCGCCTGTTGGCTGCGCTCTGGCCTCCCGCCTGTTGGCCGGGCCCGGGGCCCGCCCGATGCCCGACGCCGTGGGGGGCCTCGGGCCCGTCGCCCCCAGCGCGCGCGACGTCGACGCCAACGGGCGGCGCGACAAGGATAATCAAAAAAGCAGATTGGCCTCGGCCCCGGCCCCTGCCCGAGGGCTAAAGTTAGGCTAAAGTTCGGCTAAAGTCACATGCGTTGGGGCGCTGGGCCCCAGGCCGCAAGGGCGCAAGGCGCAAGGGCTACCTAGCACTTACTTACTAACTACAATTACTACAGCCTCTGGTCTGCCAAATGGAACCGAAACCGATGATTGCAACGAACCGCTGGCCGACGGCCCGACGGGCACGGTCGCGGCGCCATGGCCAATTCAATTGCCAAGTGCCCATCCCATGCCAAGGCTTGCACAAAACAAACAGAGCGCGTCCGTCTCGGCCCTGGCCCTCCAAGGCGCGGCGCGGCGCATATGTCCAGACGAGGGCAGACATATTGACAACAATTACAAAATCAGGCGCTGCACCGGTGTGCAAACTGCACGCAGGCCCAGGCGCAACATGCCTGCATGCCGCGCGCGGCCCCCTGATCGCGCCAGATAAATGACCGAAGGGGGGGCGGCAATGACGGGGCGCTGTGGTGGCGCTGCTGGCGGCGGCACTGCAACTGCAATGTGACCACGTTGGCAATGTGGCAGCGCTGGCCCCACGACGGCGGCAACCTGTCGGGGGCCGCTCGTCGCTCGTGCTCGCGGCCCGCGGTGATCGCGGGAGCGGGAGCGCGCCGCCCTCTGGTGAGATGACCAAAAAGCCGAAGGCGTTGGGCCTTGGGCTTCGGGCTGGCGGCCTGGGCCCGCGGCCAGGCCAGGCCAAACCAAGGGCGAGCGACCGCCTGCGCTCGCAAGGGCTACCCGGCTACCAGGCAGCGGCCACCAGCAGTGAACTTTACTGTTACTACTAATGCTGCTTTCGTAGGGGGTCCGACTCCTAAGTAGGGTCGCGCTGGGGTAATCCCTCCCCTCAAAGCCACTCTTC